CTCATGGTTGCAGCACAAGCTGCCATTAAACACAAAACTCCCTGCCTGGGTACCCAGAGCCTGAAGCCTCAACAGCTAGGTAGCTAGCAAGAATTCCAGCAGTCCAAGTGCTGCTTTTAGCTCTCTCATGCTTTTGATGTTGTTTTTTTTAAGTATAGCCCTCTAGTAAGCAGTATCAGTGGATGCAGTGCTGGAAATGACCATGTCTGGGCTCTCTGGCTCCTAACTGTGCCTTGTTTCAGTCCCTGGTGCTGGTGTCACGCCTCCCCTACGTCAACTTGTTCCAGTCCTTGCTGCAGCTCATTGCTCCTGAGTACTTTGAGAAGCTGGAGCCCTGTCTGGAGGCAGGTGAGCAGGAGGCTCTAGCAGGGTGGGCTCCATACTGAAACCTTTCCCAGGTTTTAGCAGGATGTTCTTGAAAGGCAGCTGAAATGTTCTAAATGAGTTAATTCTGGAACAGATTCCAGCAGGGGAACACTCTCATCCAAGTGGCTGGTGTGTCAGAGTTCTGCCCAGCTGTGCAGGGAGGTGTCTGACAGCCCCACAGACAGAGCTGCCCATCCTGCAGAGGGTCTGCTCCTGGGGAGAGGGGAGAGCTGCTGGTGCTGCACCCCTGGCTAGGACTTTGTTCCACTGCTCCATGGTTTATCAGCAATACAGCACTGCTGGGCCTGCACTGGAAACGGTGCTGCAGACCCAGGTGGTGTCTGACCTAACCTCACCCCATTACTTGATCCAGTGCTTGTCTGCAGCTAGCCAGGGGCACGTGGGAATTAGGAGTGAGTGGTAATTAAACTGCTGGATCTCCCAGGACCAGCTGAATCCACTGCCTGGACCTTCAGAGTTCAGCTTTTTTCTTTACCTGTGTCCCTGCAGTGTGCAACGAGATCGATCAGTGGCCACCTCCTGTGCCAGGACAGACCCTGAACCTTCCCGTGATGGGAGTTGTCATTCAGGTACTTGTTGCTGGTGATCTGTGCTCAGCAGCAGCCTGAGGCAAGCTGAGAAGTGGGACATGAATTCCCTCTTCTTCTGGATGGTAAAATTGCTCATGAGTCTAGATTCTTTCCCTTTAGTCCTAACCTCTGTACCATTGGAGTTGATAATTGAGGAACCTTTCTCACGTGGGTGGTTGTTAGGGAAGAAAGCAAAGTGTGTGTGCATGCCAGCCTGTTGTGTGCCCCTGGATAATCTGCCTGGTCTTATTTGTCATCTAGGTGAGAATCCCATCCAGGGTGGATAAGCCAGGATCAAGCCCAGTGAAGCAGTGCAATCAAGAGGTGAGGTGAAGCATGGCACGACACAGCCCGTGATGGGCAGGAGGGTGGAGGGAACTGGGACTCTTTCAGCCCTACCCTGTCTGAAACCACCCTGTCCTGGGGTGGATGTGGTTTAAGTTATCCAGTTCAAACTGCACACTCTCTTGCCTGTGTCTCTCCAAACAGGACTGGGCACAGAATTTGAGAGCTTTGAGTTAGGGATGTGCATTGCTCTCAGTTTCTGTTCACCTTGCCTGTCCTGGGAATTCAGGCAGAGCTGGTCTCCTTGAGCCCCTGCCTTCATTTCTGCTGCTGTTGTGCAGCATTTTCTATCTGAGCATCTTCACTGCTTCTATTCAGCTTTTTGATTCTTGTTCATTTCATTTTTTTCCCTTTATCTCTCCTTTGAATAACGTTGACAACTTCTGGGACTCATACTGCTTATTGTCCCTGTCTGTATCTTAAGCTCTGCCCTGCAGCAGAGGAAGCTCTAGAAAACAAAGGAGCAGACACAGGAAATGTTTCACATCTTGAACCAAAGGGATTCTTGGCCATCTTCTAGCAGAGGACCTTGAATGCTCAATCCAGATCTGTTCCTGGCTCATGCCTCTGAGCATTAACTTTGTTCTCTTCTGTTTGGGTGTATTGAGAGGGAGCTGCTTTGGGACTGATGGGGTCAGTGTAGGTGTTTCAGACAGGATGTTTCCATTTTCTAACTGTTTGGGGTTGGTTTGATTTTTACATGTTTTTTCTTTCTCATTTAGAACCTGTTACCAGCTCCACTGGTTCTCCCCAGTATTCATGAACTGGATCTCTTCAGGTGAGAGCCACCATCCCTGCAACTCTCTCCTTTCCACCTGCTTTTCCTGCTCATAGTACCCTATAAATCATACGTACAGTGAGGATGTCAGATGAGGAATCAGCAGTTACTGCTCTGCAGGGTTTCATTCAGAGTCCTGGGCCTGCAAAGCTTCTGTGGTGTTTAAACCTGTGTGCCAGTGTTTAAAGCAGTGTTCTGACCCTTACACAGCCCCCTGTATCCCAGTTAGAGGAGAGTTTCTTTGCTTGGCTGCAGCTGGGGATCAGCTCAAGCCCTGAAGCTCACACACTGTGTCTCTGAGCCAAACTTTCTGGCTTTGTAGGTGCTGTTCTGATGGACACAGGTTTGCTGTGAGCCACAGGCATGTTACTGTGCCTGGATGCAAAGGCATGCTGAGAGGAATCCCACTGGCAGGTGGCTTTGCAGAGCACTTCCTTCAAACCTGTGCAAAAGGCTTGAGGAACTGTGTGTGTAGACATGTGGTGGGATGCTGAAAATCAATCCTAGATTTCAAATCCCCAGGTGAAGCACATCTGGAGAGGCTTATATGGCACAATGTGTCTGGTCTTTACTGAATTGCATTTCTAACCTCATTCTTCCCTTCACTCACAGATGTTTCCAGCCAGTGCTCATTCACATCCAGATGTTGTGGGAGCTGATGTTACTGGGAGAGCCAATTGTCATAATGGCACCATCCCCTACAGTCTCTTCAGAAATGGTTCTGGCACTTACCAGGTAATGCCCTCAAATCCTGAGATACAGGTAAGGAGAGTAATAAATCCTGGCAGTTTTTCAGATCCACTCTTCTGTTGGGTTCCTTGTGTTAGGTTTAGTTTGGCTACAAAAGTGAGTAAGGCAAGTGGCATAGCAAGAGTCTTGCTCATATTCCACCCATGGGGGAGAAAAGTGAATCTCCCACCTGGGGAGACCCTGAGGAACTTTTTCTCCCTAGCTTTGAACTCAGCTTTAGCCAAAAAAAAAAAACTCCAACAACCTAAAGCCTGGAACTCCCCCAAAATGTTACCTCTGGCAGGACAAAACACTGCTCTAGGACATCAGTGTGATGTAAAGAGACACTCCTCCCCTGTGAAGGCTGTGTGGCCACTCTCTGCCTGTTGTTACAGCTGCCTTGCTCCCCTGAGGTACTGCTGTGACTACAGGCCCTACTTCACCATCCACGACAGTGAGTTCAAGGAGTACACCACCAGGACACAGGCCCCGTGAGTAGCCAGGAGACCCTTCCACCCATTCACCCTGTCTGTGTGAGGGAAGCCCTGAGGTTGGTGTTTGCCTTTCCCCCTCCCCCCTTTTCTTTCTAGGCCAAACATTGTTGTGGGAGTCACAAACCCTTTCTTCATCAAAACTCTCCAGCACTGGCCACACATTCTTCGGGTTGGGGAGCTCAGAATGTCAGGTAAGGGTGGAACCAAAGTCCTGTTGTGCCAGTAGACCTTGTTAGAGGCTAGTGCTGAGCTGAGAGTTGTGGTTTTACTCATCATCAGCCCTGTGGGAGCTGAGGAACCAAAGGGAAGCCTGGGCTGTGACTCAGTTGGTGTGCAGGGTGAGCACCAATAATGGTGAGGACAAACTGTGGAGACGATAACTTGCTTTGTTTTTCTGAAGCATTAAGAAAAGGAGAAGTCCTTCCTGGGTGGGAAAGAGAATATTTCATAGAGAACAGAGGTAGAGAGAGACTCTGATTATCTATAGAACCAACAGAACCTCTAGGTTGAGGAGTTTGGGTTTTTTTTGTAACGCCTCCTTAACATGTTCCTGTCCCAAAATTTCAGTAGGAATATTAGCAGACAAGAAGGCTTATGAGAGGGTGAAGTTAAGGGAGGATGTGACTGAAGGTGCACACATGTAGGACTGAATATTCTCAGGTGCAAAGACCCTGGGGTGTGTGCTGCAGCTGTGAGGGTGGGTTCAGAGCCTGAACTTGTCACCTGATGTCTCTCCACAGGAGACCTGCCCAAGCAGGTCAAGGTGAAGAAGCTGGCTAAACTAAAAACCCTAGACACAAAACCAGGTAAGCCCTTGTCAGACATCATCTAATGTTTGCCCTTCCACGTGGGGGGTTTGCAGGCCTGTGAGCACTGTGTACATTATCCTCTGCATCTCAACAAATG